GGATCTCTCACCGCGGCCGCTTCCCGCCCTCCCCCGGCAGCGTCCAGGGACCCCCCCCCGCCCTGGCGCCCTGTGCCCAGCGCCCGTGGGATCCCGGCACACCCCGGATTCCTCCAGTCTCTCTTGCAGGGCCCCCCCAGCACCTGACGCTCCCGCAGTAACACGCCCAGGATACACAGACACGGTGGCGACACGGTCCTGGTGCAGCCCAACAGGGTATGGTCGCTGCGGGACCCTCGGTGTTGGAGGGGCCCTGGGGCAGGCCCGGGGGGCTCGGTGTGTGTGGCAGCCCGGTGGGCAGGGGCTGGGSTGTGTGTGGGGTGCCCTCGCTCTGGCCAAGCACTGCTCACCCGAGAGGGCTCTGCAGCGGCTCACTAGACAGTGGGCTCCAGAGCAAACCTCAGGCTGTGCTCCCATCACCCCCCCTCCCCCGGCCCCCTCCCCTTGGTGTCACAGCCCATGGGGTTCTGACAGGACAGCATGTATCTACAGAGGGCGTGCCCCCTGCCCTGCGTTCACATGATATCATCCAGGAGGTTGGGGCTGGCCACCCAGTCGAGAGTGCGAGGCTCAGAGGCTGCCATGATCATGCACATGAACTGTTTGCCCGTCCTCTTGTCGATGGGGTAGATGGTGGTGGGGGTGAAGCGCTTGTTGCTCTCCACGAAGTCGCAGAGCTGCTCGTAGACAGCGGGGAACTCGTGCCTCAGGAAGACACCGCGGATGCGCAGCTCCCGCTGGATGTTGATGAAACAGACCTCCCGTGCCTTCCGGCCCTCCTCCCCGTCCTTGTCGATGTCAGCTGTGCCGGGTGGTGGCGTCAGGATCAACGTTTCCATGTCCCGCTCCTTCTTCAAGATCTTTTTCTCAGGGCTCGAGGAGGCTAAGGCTACCTTGGCRTATTTCCTGACCGTTGGCACCTGCATCTTCGGTGATGGCCTCTCTGGCACTTTCTGGGTGACGGCCACGGTTACATTCAGCAGGAAACATTCGTTGGGGTCGTACTGGTTGCCTGTCTCTCGCAGCTCCTGGGCATAATCCCCCAGGTTATCTGAGTAGCTGTCCAGCTCCCGTAGAGACAGGTAAGTRGGGGACATCAGTAGGCTCTCCAGCCCAAACTGGAGAAAGTTCTCGGCTGAGCCTGCATTGGGGAAGCCCAGGAAGAGGACGCCTCGGCCACGGGAGAGGTATCCCACCTTGGCGATGCGCGAGAAGGCCTTGTGCACCTCGGTGTTCTCACGGCAGAACTGCAGCACGTGGCGGCAGACGCTGCCCACCCGCCCGTAGACACAGCTCGCCTTGTGTGTGTCCCAGTCCTCACGCCGACAGTGCCGGGAGCAGTAGTAGGTGTAGCAGCTGTGGCAGGATTTGAAGTAGAGGCAGGCATTGAACATGGTCTCCGTGCGCCGGCACTTGGCGTTGGAGCACATCATCATGTCATCCTCCTCGGCGCTCAGGTCGGGCGAGCAGTTCTCTGGTGACTTCTCGAAGGGGCCGGTGGCTGGCGGGGCGGGTGGGGGGCGTGGGGTGCCAGTGTGGGAGCTGGGGCCTGGCTGCTCCTTTGTGGGTCGGGGTCCTTCGGGCACATTGTGAGGGATCCGCCTGCCCTCGCCCCGCCGGGGGGGCCCCGGGGCACTACTGCTCAGGAGCTGCTTGAGCTGCTCGGCGAGGCTGTCCCTGTCCCTGGCACGGTGGCCTGGTGTTGGCTTGTAGTCAATGACAAGGTCAGTGATGAGCTCATCCAGCTGCTCCAGGCTGCGCTGGCGTCCTGAGCTGCTTTCCCTGGGGCCGGGTTGTGGGGCACAGGGCACAGCGTAGGGCCCACGCTCCTGCCCTGCATCGAGCATGTCCCAGCTGGCCGAGCGCCTGTCGCTCCGGCCCAGCCCGTCGGTGCGGATGTCATTGTCGGTGATGGTGATCTCAGGTGTGACATACCAGGAGCGGCCTGGGGGCCCGCGGCTGCCATCAGCGTGCACCCGCTCAAGGATGGAGCTCTCAGAGAGGGACAGGGCCGCGTAGCGCTTGGGTGAGCTTGACAGGTTGATCACCACGGGTTGCCGGCGCTCCTCAGGGGATAAGGCACGGTGCTGTTCGTGGGTGAGCAGGTTCTCATAGCTACGCCCACGCTGCAGGGCCTCCTCTCTGCGCGCTGCTGGCGCCAGAATGTTATCCCAGGATTTGGAGTAGTGCTGGGTCTCCCGGCCCAGCCGTGGTGGATTCACGCCGTAGCTGGCGTGCCAGGAGGAGAACATGGCCTCGCGCCCGGCCGGCTGCGGGGTGAAGCGTGACACTTGCAGGCTCTGGTAGGGCAGCGTGGCCCGCTCGGGGCAGTACCAGTCCCCAAAGTGCAGGGCCTGTGCGCTGCGGGGTGGGGGGCATGTGCGTGACATCACCTCCCGCTCCCGGTACTTCCCATAGTCCTCAGCATAGAACAGCTTGGCAGAGGAGCCGAGGGCTGGGTATGTCCTAGCATCATCAGCATAAAGGGTTTTTACAGGGGTCCCACGTGGGGCATAATAGCGGGGGTCGTCCCCATAGAAGGTGCGAGCAGGTGCCTCCTGCACCGGGTAACTCCGTGCCTCCTCCACGTACACTGTCCGGGGTGGCATCGTGTGAACAGCAGCCTTGGCTGGGTCCTCAGTGTAGAAGGGCTGGGGCACAGCATGGCGACTTGGGTAGGGGTAGCTGGTATAGCCCGAGCTGCGGAGGGGCATGGCAGGGCTGGGGCACCGYGCTGACTCCTCTGCGTAGAAGAACTTGGCTGGGACACCGGCAGCTGAAAAGGTCATGCAGCCCCTGTCGGGGTACTCCCTGAATTCCCGTGAGGCTGGCACCGGCACTGTCTGGTACGCCAGTGCCCGGGGGTCTGGCTCGTAGTACTCGCTGGGGTAGGGCAGGAGTGGGGGCTCCCCACTGTAGGAGTCGCTGGGGGTGGGTGTGCGGGACATGGATGCCTGCCGGCTCCCTGGCACGGCCAGGCTGCGGGCGACCCCGGGTGTGCGGGGCCAGCGCAGCGGCTCCGAGCGGTTTGGGGTTCCCCGCAGGCTCCGTGCCGTGTGCACCAGCACTGCCTCATCCGGCTTGATGTCCACTCGGCACTTTACGTGGGGGCTGGCGCCCACCTTGGCCCCCAGCCCCTCCTCGTAGCAGTTGCTGCCCAGGCAGACTGGGGAGATGCGGCTGATGCTGCTGCGCTGTGGCTGCAGCTTGATGGGGTGAACCTCGTTGGCCAGCACCCGCAGCGGCACTGGGCCCTCACGGCGCGGCGAGGGATCAGTGTGGGAAGGCTCCCGTGCCACCCGCAGCGCTTCCCGCCCCCGCCGGGCTGTCGGTGGTGATGCCACCACGGTGATGGGCACCGGGGTCAGCGTAGACTTTACCCGCGGGGCACTCTTGGAGCGGGCGCGGCGCTTTGGCTCGTTCCGTGGTGCAGGGGCTCTGCCGCTGTAGGGSTCTGGCTTCGGTGGCGCCCGCCTGCCCGGTGGTCCCGGCGTGGYCTCAGGCACGCTGGGGCGCGGGCAGGCGCGCTCCATGGCCGGGGAGGTRCCCAGCTCCTCCAGCGACTCGATGAAGTCAAAACTCCTGCAGTGGCGCTTGTTGAAGGGCTGTGGCTCGTGGGACAGGGATGAGGACATGGAGGCGTCACATTGTGGCAGGGGCTGACAGACAATGGAATCCCCAGGGGCTGCTGTCGCCACCTTGATGTCTTGGTACACCGTGGACACCAGGATGTCAGGTGGGTCTGTTCGTGTCATCTTAAAAGCCACTCTTCTCCTGCCAGTTCCCTGTCAGACGGCCTCAGAGGATGGAAGCCCACACTGCAAGAGAATATATGAGACGCCTCAATCCTGGAGTGACCTCGTATCAATCCCCACAGCTCCTGACTTGGAGCTGGGGGTTGGCTATCTCTTCAGAAATGAGGGTTTGGGGGCATCCCAGCCTCCACTGCTGCTGTTGATAGTCAATGGGAAAGAGAAGCTGGAAAAAGTCTCCAGATCCAGTGTGCAAATCACGGAGCAGCTGGCAGGGCACCCATGGCAGCAGCCAGGGAGCTCTGCGTACCAGCTCAGCACAGTGAGAGGAGAACACAGAGTGCTCTACCCTGTTCCTCGGCCAGAGGACACAGGAACTRTCTTGCAGCATCACATAAATTGGCAGCTCTGAGCAGGGCTTTGGGGGTTTTAACACTAGGGTTTTCCGTGGGGACCGTGTGCCCAGCCCCGGTGTGATCACTGGAGTGGTGAAGGTTCTTCTGGAACTGTGTGCACCCACGTCCCAGCACCAGCACTGTACGGGGAACAGGTACCAGGGACAGGCACCGTGAGCATCCACCATGGTGGCTGGAAAGCCCCCACAGTCTGGGGCTCTGTGGGAGAGAGGAGCCACACCCCCTCCCTGTGTTTGTTGCACCCACTGTGGCTCACAAAAACCCCAGTGGTGTGGCACCAGTGCTGGCTACACAGTCACATCACTTCCTGGGACTTCCAGACCAGGGGTGGCAGAGGGGTGCTGTGGTTGGTGACCCAACCTGCATGTCAGCAGTGACTCCTCCATCACCTACCTGTGCCAGGAGGACTGTGCTAACTCAGTACCCACTGGCTTGGTCCTCTTCCATGTTCCAAGTCTGTGACATCCCCTGGTCTGGAGAGCGAGTGGGACGGTGGCTCCAGCTGCTCTGGGATWTGGAGTCTGACACCCACTGTGTGCCAGCACCAAATGCCCCAGCTCTGGGACAATGCTTTTGGCGGGGCAGTGTGGGCAGAGTCCCATGCCACAGTGTGACAAAACKGTGTGACAATGAAGCCATCAGCAAAAGGTTCCCACAGTGCATGGGGGGCAGAGAAAGGGGTTTGCCCACTGCATTGACCTTCCCCACCAGCCCTCCAAGAGCTGCTGTGGATTGCTACCAGCGCCAAGGGATGAGCACCTTTTTTGCCCACAGCGGGGACACCCCTGGCTGTCACCTCACCACATCCTCTAAGTGTTGGGTGTTGTGGCCACCAAGGGCCTGGGAGTGCTAGTGGACACTGGCTGCTCTATGTTGCACTAAAGGTGCGTGGGCATTTGGCTTTAAAGAGCAGCAGAAGACCACAGGAAAAATGTTTATTGGAGGAAAGGAATTGACTTTATTTGGCAAGAAGCACTGACTATGCAGAGATGGGGAGGGGGACTTGRGTTCCTCCTCTTTATCTGCTCCAAAAGCTGGGGGTGGGGGGTGCAGATGCTAGGGCTGAGGTGACACCATTGGGCTTGGGGTGTCTGTCCATGGGGTGAGGTGGGGAGAGCGGGATGCCATGAGGAAGGAGATGGGGGTCCTAGTGCCTCCCTGCGGGGCTGGGAGGGTATGTTTGCCCCCAAAGAGGTGGCCCAGTATTGGCCCTGCTGTGTTACAGTATGTGGGAGCTGGGCTCTATCTAYAAAGGCAGCCCCCCACGCAACAGTGATGGTAACAATGGTGTTGGGAACCTGTCCCTGTGGTGTCGGGGTGGCTGGTAGCCCAGCGTCCTACCTGGTCCAGCAGCAACAGTGGGGGCTGAGGTGGGCTGAGGTGGCTGAGGGGCCTGTGGCGCCTCCATCCCAGCACTGCAAAACAAACAAGACACGTGAAGCTCCTGGTGGAGGAGGGGTGGCTGCCAGGGCCATTGATGCCTTGTGAGCACATGGAGCACCCCGGAAGACCCCAGCAGCCACAGCCCTGCTGAACCAAACAGAAYTGTCACCCATTGAGGCCGCTGTGCACATCCTGGTTGCACTGGGACTGTGGGCGCTGTGTCCCATGGGCACCAGTGTGTCTTCCACCCACCCAGCAGCACCCACCACCGGGGGAGCTGCGGTGTTGCCATGGTTTCTCCAAATTATTCCTCCTCTGCGAGGACGGCGTGGGTGAGGACAGCGTGGGTGCAGGGGGAGGCTGCGTGGGGAGCTGGGGCTCTGCGACAGCGCAGGGAGAGCAGAGCCCTTGCAAAGCCGCGGGAACCCTCTGCCCATCGTAGGGGCAGAGCCGGGTTGGCCCCACAGTGCTGTCAATGCCACCACGCTCACACAGCCACCCGCCTCTGACACTGACTTCCCTCCGCAGGGAGAGGGTTTTGAACCCYCTCTGCTCTCCACCTGCCCCGGTTGGTGGGTCCCGGGATCCGGCAGCGCTTGCAGAGCAGCTGGTGCCCACGAACTGGATGGGAGCCACCCCCGTGGGGTCCTGCCCTTGCTGCCAGCACTGCCCCGCAGGGCCCCAGCGCTGCTCCCGCCGCGCCGCACGGCAGCACTGAGCTCCGGCAGCACCGGGGGCTGGGCCGGGGGCGGTCCCGCTGCCCGAGGGACCCACGGGGGCTGCTGGCAACCGGGTCGCTACCTTCATGTGCCACGTGTGGGCGGTGCGGGGAGGCGTGCAGTGCCCCCCACCAYCGCATCCCACACTGCCCGCGCACTGCAGTTCCCTGCCTTGTGCCCTGCCTGTGCCCTGCCGATGCCCACGGCGGGCACTGCCCGCACGCTGCTCACACTGCCTGTGCCCTGCTCTGAGCTACSCATACACACGTCCCTGCCAGTGCACAGCTTGGCCGTGCTGCCCTCTGCACTGCCCGGGCACTGCCCACTCGCTGTCTGTCCCTGCACATGGCAAGGGCTGCTGCCTGCTCATCCTGCTCTTGGTGCCCTGCCAGAGCACTCCCCACCCTGCCCACACACTGCCCACCCTGCCCACACATTCCGGAGCATTGCTGCCCACCCTGCCTGCTCGCTGCCCCCACACGTACCGCTGAGCAGGCAGGAGCGCTGCACTGGGAACGGTCCCTGCACGCTGCTTGTACATGCAGAACAGTGAGCACGCTGCACTGCCCCCTTCCCCGCAGCAGCCCCAGCACACATTGCGCTGCACCGGGCCCACTGCCCGCACCACCCCGTGGGCACGGCCGGCAGCACCAGCGCCTGCCCCCAGCACTGTCCCAGAACCCTCACTGTCCCCAGCACTGCCCTGAGCGCTGCTCTGAGCCCATCAGCGGCACCTGCATCTGGACAGCATCCTGCTGCAACCTCTGTGCTCGAGCCCGTCATGCTGAGGTGTCACCAGCAGCTGCCGTGGGGGCAGTGTCTGTGCCCGCTRTACCCTGGCACAGCCAACCCTGTGCCCCGTGTGTGTGCCAGGGGGGCACCGATTGCCGCTACTGCCCGGGCACTTCCCGCAGCGAGAGCTGGCAGGCGCCACAGTCTGTGGTGTCGGAGCCCACTGTCCCCCCGGCCCCTGCCCCATATCCGTGGCAGATAGACACTCCTCCCTGTGCCACCCCCAGGATACATACACGGTACGCTACATCCCTATGGCATTGCTCGCCCTGCACATCAGACTGCTCCTCCACACACGGTCTGTGCGCCCCAGCCCTGTGCCCCTGCCAGTGTCTCACAGCCGCTGTGCCCCTGGCACTGCCTCATTTCCCCCAGTCCCTGTCCCGTGCCCCCAAGACACTGTTGGTTGCCCGGCCCCAACCCAGCCTGCGTCCCCGGAGGGGCTCATCCTGTCAGGGGGAGCAGCAGCCCCAGCCTAGGAGGGTACCCCCGGTGCCACCCCACGTTGGGGTGGGCAGCACTCCAGGGTGCAGGGGATGCCCTRGCCCCTCTAGTCCCTCAGTCTTGGGGCACCCGCAAAGCGCACGGCCAGGGGGCAGGGTGGCCAGGGGCACCACGGGAGGGCGTGTTGTGGGGGACTGTGTGGAGAATACACGAGACGGCCCCGCGGGAGCGGGTCTGTCCCAGGCGCTGCCGCAGACCCCGGGGCGGTGGCCCCGGCCACCCCCACCCCGCTGCGCACCAGCACCGGGAGGCGCCGGGCCCGCTGGGCCGCGCAGGGCGCTGAGCTGGGCACCGGGGGAGGCTGAAATGGCCCGGCTCGAGCACTGCGGCAGGATGGGACGGAGATGAGGATAGGGTTGGGGATGGGAGAGGGATGAGATGGGGATGGGTAATAGGGATGGGAATGGGACAGGGATGGRGCACTCGRGAGTATGGAAAACCCCGGAATATGGGTGCGATGGGGTGGGATGATTCGGCTCGGGAGTGTGGGATGGGGATGGCCCCGGTGGGCCTGAAGGGCTGGAGAAGGCATAGCTAGATGGGAA